CAGCTGTCAACCTCCTACACTTAAGTGGGGAAAAGTCCCAGCCTCTCCTTGTAACTCAAGCCTTCTAGTTCTGGTAACATCCTTGTAAGCCTTTTCTGCATCCATTCCAATTTAACAATATCCTCCCTATAGAGTGACCAGAATTGTAATAGTCAGTTCCACTATAATGCAGTGTTTGTGTTCTGCGCAACATCGCGTTATAGAAAATCACGCTATAGCATGCTTGGTAACATCCTCAGTGCAGCCTCTGATGAAGCGTCGGTGTGTTTTCCCACCTGGTTTTTAAACTCTGGGGTCCGTTGCAATGGATTGCCTCACTTCTGGGTTTCCTCCGTAGTGGAATGTATATGGGGTCGAGTTCAATGTGTTTATTAATAGCATGCTTCGTGGAGTGCCATGCTTCCAGGAATTCTCATGCTTGTCTCTGCCTAGCCTGTCCCAGGATCTTGGTGTTGTCCCAGTTGAAGTGGTGGTTCTCCTTGTCCATGTAGATTGAGATGAGTGAGTATTGGTCATGTCTTTTTGTAGCCAGTTGGTGTTCATGTACCCTTCCTGTTTGTCCGATATAGTGTTTCTGCAGGGAATCTTGTAGATGACATTGGTCCTGTCCATGGTGGGGAGTGGGTCTTTAGTTTGGGTGAGCACTTGTAGGGTTGATGTGGGCTTGTGTGCCACTCTGATGCCCAGCGGTCATAGAAGTCTTGTGGTGAGTTCTGACATGTTCCTGATGTAGGGTAGTGTGATGAGTGTGTCGGGGCGTGTAGAATCTTTCTGATGCTGTTCCTGTAGGCATCTCCTGACCCAGTTTTTTGGATATCCATTATCCTTGAACACTTGAAAGAGGTATTCCTCCTCCTCTTGGCGTAGTTCCATGTTGCTGCAGTGTGTTGTTGCCCTTTTTGTATCTAATAATAAAATAAAAGTTAAATTGACACCTTACCTTGAAAAAGGTCAAGATGACTTGATGGGGGAGGAGGGTTTGAGTTTGCTCAGTTGTTAATGTAGGAGTGAAGGGTCTCCTTCCTCCTCCTTCGTCTTCGTCTTCGTCTCTGTCTCCGTCCTTAAATAATAAGCTTTAAAAGCTGCTACTGCACCCTAGTCCATGGGTTAAAGGAGAGAGATTGTTTGAGGGTAGAAATACCACTTTGACGCTTTCGGAAAGCTCACCAATAGTGGGAGGATGGCTTTGTCCTCACATTTTTGTGTGTAACATGGCAGAGTTTGCAAAAAAAATGAAAATCAGAGTACTGTACCTCTCCCAAAGTGCTTCACGACAAAGTCTGCGAAATGATCACTGGTGCCAGTGCAGAGACTCTTTCAGCGCTAACATCGCACATGCTTAGGACAAAGTCTGTGAAACGATTGTGTGATGTTGACATGCACTCTGCGCACCAATGGAATTGTGTTTTAGAAGCAGTGTTCCCCTATTCATCAGTCACGTCATAGCCCAATTCACGTTGCTGGAACATGTTATAGCAGAAGTGGCCTCTAATATCCTGTACAGTCACATCATGTCATTCCCAACTCCTTTACTCAATGGTCTGAGCAATGAAGGCAAGCGTGCCGAGCACTGTCTCCACCCTGTCTATCTATGACACCATTTTCAAGGAGCTATGTGCCTGAACCCCTGGGTTTTGCTGTTTGACAACACTCCCCAGTGCCCTGCCATTAACTGTGTAAGTCCTGCCCTATGTCTTACCAAAATGCAGCACTTTGCATTTATCTAAATGGAACACCATCTTCCACTCTTCGGCCCATTGACCCAACTGATCAAGATCCCATTGTGCTCTTACATAACCTTCATCACTGTCCACTATACCACCATTTTTTGTGTCATCCGCAAACTTACTAACCGTGCTTCCTGTGTTCTCATCCAAATTGTTTATGTAAATGACAATCAACAGTGGAACCAGCATGGATCCCTGCAGAATACTGCTGGTCACAGGCTTCCAGTCCAAAACATAACACTCTACTACAGCCCTCTGTCTTGTACCATCGAGCAAATTTTGTATCCAGTTGGCTAGCTCTTGATGAATGCGTGCGATCTAACTTTACTAACCAATCTATTATGATTTGGCTTTATTTTTGCGAGCGTGCGCTGGTTGAGTCTGATCTAATGAAGGAATATGCTGTTTGATTTTATCAGTTAATGACCTGTATACCATTGCTCAGCTATGTGTGCTAAACAGAACATCTTTTTTGGTCTGGCAGCAACATGAAATGTCTTTTGTGTTGTTGAAATTTTGAGTTCTTGCCTTTCCAGGGTAACTTGAGGTGGACCAGGCAACATTCAGGTCCAAAAGTGACAGCCTTTTGACCTGTTGATTTTAATTTAGTTTGATTTATTATTGTCACATGTACCAATATAGTGGGAAGTATTGTTTTGTGTGCTATCCAGACAAATCATACCTTACATAAGTATATCAGGGAAATAGAACAGAATGCAGAATATAGTGTTGAAGGTGCAGAGAAAGATTAACGTAAGAGGTCTGTTAATGACTCTGGTAATATTGGGGAAGAAGCTGTTCTTAAATCTGTTGGTAAGTGTTTTCAAACTTTTGTATTATCTGCCTGGTGGAAGAGATATAACTGGGGTGGGAAGGGCTGTTGGCTGTTTTCCTGAGGCAGAGGGAAGTGGAGATAGAATCAGTGGAAAGAGGCTGGTTTTTTTTTTGTGATGGACTATTTATTCACTCTGTATTACACAAAGCCAGCATCCTGATCAGGATAGATATTTGCACTACTTCTGGTCAAGCTTGCACGTCCTATCAGCAATCTTTCTTCCTGCAGCATGAATTATTTTCATCGTTTAGAAATTCTGCATTCTTGCATTTGGCCTAGTGAGTGCAAGTTGAAGGGCTTTGCAGCATACTCTTTCAGCAATAGTATGATTCTGATTCGACTGAAGTAAGTTGACACACTGCACATGAGAATTTTAAGGTAAAGACAGTTAAATTAGCTTGCGTTTGAAGCAGAAGGAAAGGTCTAACGAGGAAAATAAAATACTGTTGCCTTAGATGGATTAAGACTTGCTGAAATCATGATAAAGCTGAGTTAAGCAATGCTCTGCTTATGGCAACACAGAGGCTGCATTTTTATTTTACGAACCTGCTTCCATTTACTTGTTTTAAATTCGTTCATGGTATTTAGATGTCTAGCTAATTATCTTTAATTGTGCTTGAGGTTAATATTGAACTATCTCTTTTGGAGAGAGTAGGTACATACACCCAAGATGCTGGTAAGTGGGGAGTTTGTTCCAGCAACAGCAAAGGAACGGCAAAACATTGCTATGTCAGAATTATGTACACTTTGGAGTTCCATCTGTAGTTAACGGAGTTCCAATGCATCTGCTGCCCTTGCCTTTCTAAGTGATGTAGATCATGTGTTTGTAAGGTGATGTCAAAGGAGCTTTACGGCTATAGTGCATCTTTCAGAAGGTGCACACTTGCTACTGCCAAGAGTTTGGCAGTACACTTTGACTTGGGTCTTACAATTAAAGTTAATTGCAGTTATAGATTGAGTTGCAAAGTTACAAGATCTGAAATGGGTCGTCTTAATAATGCTTTCACAAATTTCTCAATCTAAGCTTGCTTCATAAAATCAGTAGTAGTTTAGTTGATCCACCTCTGGATACCAACTTGCAATACTGGTTGACTGGGTGTGTGTGTTTTTCTTCCATCAGTTGACTGAAGTTCTTCTGAACTATATTCCTTTCTTGTGCACCAAGCTGCTAAGAATCTCTGCTTCTTAATCTTTGCTTGCCAACTAACCAGTGTGCACTCTAATTGGCTTGCTAATGCATGCACTGGACGTGTTCAATTTCGGATTAGATGAACAGTGTATGCCGAATTTATGCTATGTTTCTTTAGAAGTAATGGACATCTTAATGACATTACTTTCTACTCTGTAGTTCATCTGACCTGGTAATCACTTTATAAGAACATGTCAGTGTTTCTGTTTAGTGGCAATAATTTGGCACCAATGAAATCATTTATGCCTGGTTAGGAGTATGAAATATCAACTCCCACTGGTTTCACATAATTCCAAATGTCCTAACTGATAAATCTGAAAGTTCAGGGAAAAAAGATCCAAAGCCTACCAATATTCTTTAACTAAAAGAGCCATATGTGACTGCACAATAATTATTGATGCTATAACAAATTAGCTGAAGTTACTTCCAGGAGATCAGTGCTTTTTTTTTTTTAAGAATCTCCCTTTTTATTACTTTATTGAGTATTAAAGTTAAGATTGCAGAGTACCAATGCAAGATGTTACTAAATGCACAAGTTACAACAAAATATATGAAACTCAAAATAACTGCAAAATTAATATGTATTACTTACTGGAGTCTGTCAGCGCAGTTGGCTGGATGGCTAGTTTGCAACGCAGAGTCATGTCAGCAGTGTGGATTCAAGTCCTGCACTGGCTGAGGTTACCATGAACAGCTTTCCTACCCAACTTCCCCCTCACCTGAGGCATGGTGACCCTTAGATTAAAGGGTCACCAGTTATCGCTCTCTTTAATGAGAGAGCAGCTGCATGGTCTGGTAAGACCACAGTGACATTAACTTAGAAAAGGTAAAGAGATAGTGAAATTAAACCAATTTAAAACACAGCTATATCTTTGAGTCAAAGTATTTTGCCAATTTCATTTCTGTAAAATTTTCTTTAGCTTGAGCTTATAGCAACTGTAAAACTACAAACACATGACCCTACTTTTGATCTGGGCAAATTGGCTATTTTGCCTTACGTTTTACAACTAGCCCCAATCAAATGACTTGTATAAACTGACAGGTTATTGTAGTTTTTCAGGATATCAAGTGTGTACTTTCTGTACTTGAACATTATGAAGGGTGAGATATTGTGTTTATTTAGGAAATGTTGCACTTGTACTTGGTGAAAGATGATAGCTTCAAAGCTAGCATGTACAGTGGAAGCTTGTAATCTGATTTGACTCATTAACCTGTTGAAAATAAAGTTGACATTCAAATTCATCAACAGGACTGAAAGAGATGCCTCGAATTGGTCCGTAGATAAGCTTAAGTCACTGTTGCTGGCAGTCAATGTAGAAGATGAAGAGGGAGTGTGCAAAGTGACAGAGGTGACCAAGACTGATGGTGAAGCTTCAATTAACAACAGAAAAGGAAAATTGATTTTCTTCTTTGAGTGGAACATCCAGATGTCATGGATAGGTGAGTATAAAGGAACTTATTTTGAGACTTTGACCAAAGTGATTCATCTCATCTACAAAGAGTAGTGAGGTAATACAGTTCAGAAAAGTTTGAGTCTTACCTGTTAACTGACTTTGGTCATGGCAGTGATGAGGATAATGCATTACAGTTTTGAAAGGATAGGAAACAGCCAGCATCTCATTCTTACTCACTCATCAACGACTTTAAATGGAAATGAGTGTGAATATCAATGAAGGCACAATTTTATTTATGGTAATGTGGCTGTTGAATAATAGCCATGCTTTCGTGTTGTTATTAAATGACAAGAATCTGCGGAACAGTATCTTCACAAAAAGTCTTGTGTGTGGAGGGCTGAATGAATGATTTAGAAGATTAGGATAAGGGATCTGTATTTTCATCTATATTGCAGGCCCATTTCTTCCTGTAAAAACATGTTACAGGGGACACAGTTTAAACTTGCCTCTGACAGTGGGGGTGCTTAATACTGCCCCTCAATGCCCAAAGCTGAATTGTATCTTTCCCAGTGCTGATGCACACTTCCTTCTTGGTTTTTTTTTTTTTTTTTTGTTACTAAAATTGTCTTAACCCAAAAATGTTGCTGTCTTTCTAATGCTTATAGCTGAAATTGCATCCAAGTTTAAATTATTTTAAATTTCTATGTGCTTATAACCGTTGCCATCAAACATGGTATTGCTTATGTTGGGGCATGGTTCTACATGTGCTAAAGTTTGTAAGCTGATCAATTGGCCACAAGCGCTGAGTTCATTGCAATCTGCCTGTGCAGAATTACCAATGATGTCTGTTTCATAACATTGAGTATCCAATTACCCTTCAGGAACAAGTTTATGGATGGGAGAAGATGACCAGTTCAGTTATACAAAGTTCCACTGAAGCAAGATGCACGATCTGAGAAGATGATAAAAAGCGTGGCTGGAAAAAATGAACGAGCCTATCTTTCAAGTTGACAAGTGTAGCTGAGAATTTGAGTATGGAGTCAAAATTACAAAAACACAATTGATTTTAAAATTGCACTTGAAGATGAGGCTTTCCAGTACAGTTAATTAACCAAAAAAAAACAGACCCTGGTATTTTTGTGGCCTGAATAGCATTTTCTATACCAGGTCTGCAAGTTACACTTTCAGTTTCTCAGTCTGCTGAAAGTGTCTTCTGATGTCCGTGCTTTTTTTTTGTATATGTAAACAAAATATTTAACCTAATACTCCATATAAATTGGACTTCCCATTTCAAGTAGTGTGAAACTGATGCAGTAACTACTTTGGGGGAAAATAGAAATATTTTCAGTTTGGAAAAATAGGATGTTGGCTTTTTCACCTTGATACATTTATCCGTATTAAATGAATAATAACCTGGCTAAGCTTCCTTCATTTTATTTCCCCTCCATCACCTGCTGGACTTTATAGTAATATAGGTGGAAATTTTATGAACTAAATAATCTTTATCTTTGTTATAGGAACTTCGAAAACTGGAATTAAATATAAAGGAACTGTGGAGATACCAAACCTCTCGGATGAAAATGATATTGATGATGTAGATGTAAGTTTATATATAATTGTTGTTTGTATACCAGACTAAATTGAACTGCTCTTCAAAGAATCAGCATGACTCAGTGTGCTGAATGAGCTATTTTTGTTTTGGATCTGCCAATTTTTAATTTGCTTTGCTTGAATGAGAATGTCCGGACTTGTTCCAGATTTCTTCCAGTGTTACTAAGAAACATCTTACCATCTCTCTCAGGCTTTCCTCCTTCATACCATTCATTCTTTATCCTAAACAGAGGCTGGGGCAGTTGAAAGTGGAACCAGAATTGCAAGTTGAACCTGTGTTTTTCTGTAAATCAAACTGTTATCCAATTAACTACAGATTTTCTTACTCTTAATTCTATTTTATTAATGGGTATCTTCTAGGTGCAGCTAGCTTTGTTATTGTGTAGTTCACATTTAACATAATTCTCAAATAACATTCAAGGTGTACACACACAGAGACTAAGCCTTTGAATAGAGCTCTATTAACTAATATTTTGAAATGGAGTCATTTCTGCCCTGCAACTGTAGTACTGAACCTCTACAAGCTTAGAGCTGCTTTACATGTTGTTATTTTTCACTTTTTTTTTGTAAAAAATACCAAATCTGTTCCAAGCTACTTAATATGTTGATCAGGATAACGTATTTCTAATCTGCATGCCTTTTTAGCAAGGCTGATAAGGTCTGTTATGACAGACTGGTCAAGAAAATAACAGCCCATGGCGTCCAAGGCAAAGTGGCTCATTGGATTCAAAATTGGCTGAGACAGGAGCAGGGAATAATAGAGGGATGTTTCTGGGACTGGAAATCCTGTTTCCATTGGGATTCGGCTTAGTGCTGGTGCCCTTGTTAGTAGTTTATATTATTGATTTGGACTTGACTACACGGGTTATGATCAAGAAGTTTGCGAATGATATTAAAATTGATAAAAGGAAGATAACCATAAACTGCAGGAGGATATCAATGAACTGATTGGCTGGGCAGAGTAATGGCAAATGGAATTCCTCCCAGAAAGCAGGGCTGACAAGACATGTTATTGTGCTATGAATGGTAGGACCTTGGAAAGTACTAAAGATCAGAGGCTCCCTAGTGTGCCAAGACACACAAGCTTGAAGGTAGCAAGGCAGGTAACTAAGGTGGTAAACAAAGTATATGGGATATGTGCCTTTATTAGCTAAGATATAGAATTCTATAGCAGAGAGGTTATGCTGGGATTGTATAAAACACTGGGTGGGCCACAGTTGGGGTAGTATGTGCAAAATATATTTGTACTCCAGGGGGTGTAGAAGAGATCTGTCCAGGTGCTGCAAGGACTGGAGGGTCTGAGCTATGAGGCAAGACTGGATAGACTAGGATTGTTTTACTTGGTGTAGTGAAGGTTGAGAGAGGAGCTGAAAGAAGTATATGAGATTGAGAGGCATAGATAGGAAGACACCTTCCATTAATAGAAGGGTCAAAAATCAAGGGCATAGATTTATGCTAAGAGGTAGAAGGCTAAGAGCAGAGTTGAAAACTAATTTTTTCCCCCATTGAGGATGGTGGGGTCTGGAAAATCTGACTTTTCAGTAGTATTTAATAACTTGCATTGCCACAGCTTGCAACACTGGGCCAAGACCTATAAAATGGGATTAGTACAGTCAGACTTCTGTTGACTGGCTGAGATATGATGGGTCAATTAGCTGCATTTCTGTATATGTCTGAGTCCTGGAATTTTAACTGTAGACATCACCTTTTTTGCTTTGATAAAATGTTCACTGATTTTACTTAAACATATCTTAATGTCTTTTTGTTTTAAATGCCTGTATCTGCAATGCCTTTTCTTTATGTTGCCTGATAAAGCTCTTGGTATCTGGTTCTGTGAAAGAATAATATTTGGCATTTTTTTCCTTTGCTCACCTAAAAATAATTTTCATAGTGTAATCTTTAACGTTCCCAGCTGCATTTTATCAACGGTATACTTATTGTATCAAAGATTGAAGCCTGTGGTAGTAATGCAGGAAAAAGTACTAGCAAGAACTTGTCACAGTGATTCCAAATAAAGATTGATGTATCAATGCTTTTGGACTTCTATGGGTAATTGTAGTTTTTTTGGGAGATTGAGTGAATATATTTTTTAATTTTATCCTCCAGGTTACTGTTGGGCTGGCAAAAGATGAGCCTGATACAAAATTATTGGCCCTAATGAAAAACAAAGGTGTAAAAAAGATCAGGGAAGCTCTTGGCAACTACATTGATACGCTGAAACTGGGTAAGCATAGATTAAAGCATACATGTTGAAAACTTTGCACACCAGGAAAAACAACATCAATGCTCCAATTAACCAAGGTTTGAAGCACATTAAATGGTAACCAAATACTTGAATTTTTAGTTGTCCATCTAAAGCATTCTTGCATGTGAGATTGTCATTGGCTTAATTCTAGAAATTAGAAATGAACCTAGGTCTGAGGTGACTTTTTTTCTTTGTCTATGTAATTGCTGAGCCAGTTGCTACTGGATACAGGATATTACTCCAAAATATAATCGTACTTGCTTTTTAAATGGGGTGTGCAGGAGATCGCAATATTCAGCATCATTATAGTTACTTGGGTTTATTAACATAGAGGCCTCATCCCACAGTGCTTATAGCACCTTCAGCATAGTAAAGCTGTTGTAGATGTGGGCTGTAGTGTTAGGCTAACCTTTGAGTGTCAGAAAATTAGTAGTGATTGTTGCTATGTGTAACAACAAGTCTTTTGTTATGGCAGAAGGCTCCCAAGAAGGCAGCAAAAATGCTTTAGTGATGTTGGAGAGTGTACAAACCTCCAAACAACCCAACCTTTCAAGCACTAGCCACCCAACATTTGGAAGAATCTATACATTTCACATTGGACTTGTTATTCATCTCAATCCATGGAACTGGTGTGAAAATCGGTCATTCTCAATTCTGAGGGACTGTCTAAGAAGCAGCATAGTTAACTTCTGAAAATCCTTTTTTGAAGATGGTGCCAAATGGTTTAGCAACAAATTCCAGGACTGAAATAGCATAAGGCCACAATTTGTAGGTCAAGGTGTGTAGAATATAAACAGATGTCAGAGCTGGGATGTGTGATATGCTTCAGTTCAACAGGTAGTGAGAAGTTAAGCCATTAGATATTAAGGCTGAGAATTTTTGAATTTCCTGTTTGGGACATGGACCGTTTTTTTTAATCATTCATGGTATGTGGGTATCTCTGGCTAGGCCAGCACTTGGTGTCCATTCCTAATTACCCTTGGCGATGCCTTGAACCCCTGCAGCCCTCTGTCAGTATACTATGGTGCTGTTGTGTAATTCCAGAATTTTGACCCCACAACAGTGAAGGCACAGCACTTGTCAGGAGCATTTGTGACATGAAGGGGAACTTGCAGGTGATGTCCCTGTGCATCTGATGCCCTTATTCTTCTGTGTGGTGGGTGCACGTGCTTGGAAGATGCTGTTGACAGACCTTGAATAGGTTATTAAGGACATCTTATAGATGGGATACGTTGCCACTTTGTCAGTGTGATGGTGGTTGATGGAATGTCAGTTAAGCAGCAGCTTGTTAAGCTGCTTGTCATTTGAGCTCCACCAATTCAGGTAAGCGGAAAGTATTCCATCCAGCTTTCTGACTTGTACCTCCTGGTGTGAACAGGCAGTGGGGATTATTCAGGGCAGAATTTCCAGCTTTTGACCTCTTGTCACTATGGTATTAAAAGGCTGGACCATTTCAATTTCTGGCCAGTTGTGATTTTATGATGGAGAGAAATCGTTGAAGAAGATCAGGCCTAGCACAATACCTTGAGGGGCTCCATAACAAAATGCAATGGTTCCTTTGGATTACCTTCCAATTTCAGCTGACAAATCTGGAATCGAATTTCACCATTTGTGATAATGGGATTCAAAACTTATCTCCATAGCATTAGCCAATCTCTGAATTACTAGTTCAGTGACATTACCATTCTGCTGCCATCTCACTGTGATGAAAACAACAAAATAATGAATGTGGAAATGTGCAGTATTGATAGGGAGTAGATTATTGGATTCAAAATCGATTCTTTGATCAAATGGCAGCAAATCTAAAGAAAATTGAGTGATTTGGAAGCTAGCAGTTTTGATAGGAATGAAATGCTGAACTGATCCATAACTTAGCGTGCAAGCAACTTGTCTATCATAAGTTATGATTGGAGCACTGGTGTTGGGCTGTCTGGGGAGGTAGTTCATTATCAATTACTCAATCGATGTAATGTTTGGAGCATTGGAAAAGAAAAAACAAAGAAAATCAACAGCTTCAAAACATGGTGCTTAAGGATCCTTGTTGAGGAAAAGAATTTTGAAGTATGAAACAGTGAAAATAGAGTTCTGGGGATGTGTGATCTGTGAAGAAGGGTGGAGTACCTAATCACTCCAAAGAGTAATGAAAAAGGTCAAGAGGCTGAAAGCAAAGGAAGCAGTGAGACAACATTAAAGACGGACTTAATGATAACTTCAAATTATTAATTGTTGCAATGATTTAGAATGTTTGCAAGACCATTGTCACTTGTAATTTGACGTGGCACTTGGAGAACAACCTTGAAATAAGATAAATTGAAAGGCATAATTTCAAAGCTTCCTCATACGTAGTTTAAACAGACTATGTTCCTGGGTTTTCTCTTGCACACTTTCTTGAACAAGAGTGTTAAATTCTAATTTTTAGATTCTCACACCTGCACTACATCTGAGCAGGATTGGAAAATTCTAGTCTGATCTCCTGCAACCTCCCCTCATAGTTCCCTCAGCAATGTTTATTTCCTTGATGGTCATGGTGATCTCCTAAGTATATGCAGCCTTTCCATTTGCCACCTTTTTATGCATTATTAGGTCATCTAGTACCTCGATTGTCTTTTCTTTCTATGACTTTTGTGTGCTTTTTCATGGTAAAGGTAGTTGCAAATAACGCTTGTACTGCAGCCAAACCTGTTGTGCAATTCTTTTTTGGTCCTTTTTTTATTAAATCAACTCTTAGTTTAATGTGCCTATAAAGGACTTGTGTTCTCTTTCTGTTAGCTTATCTTTTATTATAACATCAGAGAACCTGCGTCCAGATCCTTTTGCCTAATCAATAAAATTCAGGCCTTTTCTTTCCTAGAGCCTAGCCCCGAGATATTTGATTTGTTTGCTGCCACCTAACCATTCATGTGAACAGCAATTAAATTCAAGGTGTTTGTTTTAAGGTGCAGAAAAAAAGTATTTGGTTTAGTCACTGCTGTACAGCCATGGTTCCATGGTAGCAATCTCCCCTTTCTGTACCGTTAATTCTTTAATCCTGTTCCAGAGCCTAGAGCACAATATCTAGGCTGACACTACTTCAGTGTAGTACCAACGAATCACTAGGCTCATCTTTGAGGTGAAATACTGAACACAAGCGTCTTCTGTCCTCGGGTGAAAAATGTAAAAAATCAATAATGCTTGTTTTGAAGTAGAACAAAGGAGTCCTCAGTGTTATGTTCAATGTTTACTTGTTGTCCTCGACTAACACCAAATGGGTTATCAGGTCATAAAGCTTTATGTAGGACTTTGCAAATTAGGCTGTTATGTATTCTGTTGCACCAATGATTAACTTTAAGATTGAAATGACTGAAAAGCTCTGTATAAAGTTTGTTCTGTTCATACACCAGAATTCACTGTTGCTTTTGGATTTTATTCCAGAATTTACTCAGGGAATGATCTTGCCAACAGTTAATGGAGTTCAAAAGGAACCATCAAAATCGAAGCCCAAAGTTGATCTTCAGACAAAGGTTTTAAAAAAAAAAACAACTTATTTTCAAACTTGAACTCCTAGCTGACAGATTTTCCTTTTAGCATTTTTCAGTGTGTACCCTAACAGAACATAAAGTATAACACAGGAACAGGACCGTATCCCTCTGTTCCCTGCCTGTTTATATGTTTGTCTAATAGACTCTTAAACATTTTAGTCATATCTTCTTCCACCATCTCCTCTGCCAGCATGTTGCAGACATCTACCATCTTCTGTGTTCTTAAAAAGAAAAACATTTTCCTTCCACATCGCCTCCTTTTTAAACTTTCACAAAAACAGAAATTGCTAGATCCAAAACATTAACTAATTTCTCTCCCCAGAAGATACCAGATATGCTGAGTTTTTTTTCCAGAAATTTCTATTTTAATTTTTGTTTGTGATTTCCAGCATCTGCAATTATTTTTTGGTTTTTTCCTTCAACTTTCTCCCTTCCACTTTAAAACCATGCCCCTTATTCCCCTGGGAAGAGGACTCCCTCTATCCATCCCTTGCATAATTTGATATACTTCTATCAGCTTCGACTCGGCCTTCGATTCTCCTAGCAAACAACCCAAGTCAGCCTAACCTCTCCTTTTTATAGCTAATACACTGCAACCCAGGCAAAATCCTGGTAAACTTCTTCTGCATACTCTCCACAGCCTCCATATCCTTCGTGTGGTGACCAGAACTGCACCCGATAGTCCAAATGTTGCCTGACTAAAGTTTCATACGGCTGCAACATGACTTGCCAACTTTTTTTTAATCAATGCCCTGATTGTTGAAGGCAAGCATGCCATACATCTTCTTTACCACTTTCCCCACTTGTGTTGCCACTTTCAGGGAACTATGGACTTGCACCCCAAGATCCCTTTGTGTATCAGCCCTCTTCAGGGTTCAGCTATTTGCCTCCTACTCTTGCGTTTGACCTCAAATGCATCATCTCTCACATACAGATTAAACTGTTTTGTCCACCTTTCTAACTGATCTACATCAGTTGACACTTCTACACTCTATCGACGACTCCACCAATTTTTGTGTCTTCTACGAGTGTACGAATCAGACCATCCATGTTTCTCATCCTAATCACTTCTATATATATTTTATATCTTACAACAGAGGTCCCAGCACTGATCCTTGCAGAACACGATTGGTCAGATAAACACCCCACCCTGTTTCTGTGACCAAGCCAATTTTGTTTTCAACTTACCAACTCACGATGGATTCCATATGACTTCATCTTCTGGACCAGCCATGAGAGACCTTATCAAATGTATCTAGTGTTTCTGGGGTGAATAGTTACACATAATTAATTATGTTACCCATTTTCAACAAACAAAATTTTATCGACAGCAAGGATCCAACAGCGTTTACCCATCACCATTTGCCATTGGAAATATAAATGAGCAACTACCTGGTGTAGCTGCAGTCAGTGTTGTACAGATGCACCACAGGGAGTTCCAAGACGATCCACTGTTCTTGCTTTCTTGTTCTAGACAGTCAGTTAGGTATCTGGAAGGTGTTGTTCTGCCATGCATCTTGAGGATGGTACACGCTGCTTCTGCTGTGCACTAATGATTGGCAATTAAATACTTCTGGTTGTAGATGGCATGCTGACCAAATGGACTGCTGTATAATATTTGACGCTTGAGAGTTGGAGGTGAGCTAATCCAAGCGAATGGAGAGCTTGCTTTGCTGTCTGATTTGTTCCTTATCGATAATGGGCAGGTGCTCAGCAAACAGAAAGGGGGTGCAGAATTCCAGGCCTCTGAGTAATTGTCTTAGGTACAGTATTTGTGTATTGCTGGAAAAAAGACATTTTTGTCAAAGCTTCTCATGTCGCCTTCAAGACAGTTTGCAAGAATTAACAGTTCAGTGGGGAAACCAGCATTTTATATTGGAAGAAAGGAGACCGCTAATTGGTCAGCAAGTGGACTCTGGAGGAGTGCTGTGGACATTGCTGATTTGGCAATTAAATGGCAGGCTTTCTTTTTAAATTATAAACCAGGCAGATTGACTCTGACTCTGTTCAGGACACTGTCCAATGAAAAAGCATTCAAATAATTACAGGGGCCTTTGTGCCCTCCTGTTATATTTTCATTTGGATGATCTGTTAGTTGCTCCCTGGCTGTACAATTCACAAGGAAACCATGGCAAAAGAATCTATTTGAAGTGATCTATAGAATCAACTGTTGTATTGTTTCTTCAACTAAATCACTTTTGGTTGATAGACGTTTTAAACTTCCATTCTGGCGTCTGAAACTTTTTTCATGTGTTGTGGAACTACATTTTTGAAAATTAGTTCTTAAAATAGCATTTTTAATAATTCTTTCTTCCTCACAACCCTACTCCCCTTCCCCACAAAAAGTCTAAAACAGCTTAAACTTCTAAATGATTTATGGGCACGTTTTATTACAAAACCAGAACTACTCTTCTGTCTTTCTGGCTTGCATTGGAAACGTTAATCAGTTCCTAGTGAGTGAGTTTGCAGCAGTTCAGTTGGCAGCAACCTTTTTATTCAGTGCTTACAAACACCAGGTGTACACAATGGAAATCTCCTAAAGTTTGGCGTGATGCTGGGTGCTCAAGTGTTGAACTTTTCCATGCTCCACTACTGATAACTTTTTTTTAAAAAAATTCACTGTCAAGGGAAAGTGAGCTTTGGTGCAAAAAGAATAGTATGTCATTATTTCAGCTAAAGTACCCAGTAGAGTCTTTAAGTAATTCAAACTGTCATTTCTCTGCTACGATGAAAGATGACACCATTTTTTTGCGTCCCATTTTAAAAACCATGGCTGAAGGTTAATGCCATCTAAAGCCTGGTTTGTTGAAGACTTTAGTAATAAATTTAGTTATTTATATTGATCACTAACAGGTGACTTCATAGTCCACTGCTTCATTTAGCTCTTGGAAGCTTGTACAACTTCCTCTGTCGTTGTGCTGTACTTTACTTGAATTAATTTCTTTTCAGGTTGCTGTAGGGCACTTACCCAGTCAGCATACATCAGTTGGGGTCAAGATTCCAACCTGTAAATTTAACTTAAAGGACTATTTCATGACATCACCAGAGGAATTATACAGAATCTTCATTACACAAGAGGCAAGTATAAAATTAGTTTTGGATACACGAGTAAAAAAAATTCCACGAGTTCTGAGGAAGGGTCACTGGACCTGAAATGTTAACTCAGTTTTTTTTACTTCACAGATGCTGCCAGTCCTGCTGAGCATTTCCAGCACTTTGTATTTGTTCTTGATTTACTGCATCTGCAGTCCTTTCGGTTTTTTAAAAAATTCCGTGTTTGTTGCTGTTGTGCACCACCTTGTGGTGGAGGAGCATGTAAAGCTTTAGGAGCTGCTGCCTTGTCTGTTCTCTTTTGGCAGAAGAATCAAAGAACAGCATGAAACAGAAAGAGGTCATTGAGTTATCCCTAAGTTGTTGCTTTTTTAATAGCAAAAAAATCAATCCCTCTGCTCTTTATTTTCTCCTTACCAGAAGGTTGTTCTGCAGAAGGGTGGATTTTAAATTCTAGTGACTCATTGCATGAAGTGCTTTTCTCATGTCAGCACTGATGTTTTTTTCTTTCAATATTTCTTCTGAGCTCCCTTAAATGTGTTCTCTGGTTACCATCTCTTAAACCATTGGAAACAGTTTAGTTTTACTGTAGCTAATCCCCTCTTGATTTTAAACACCTATCAAGTCTTTTCTTGGCTTTCAAGGACACCAACTGCTATCGTGTAACTAATTCCTCTCCTGGAATCATTCTCCGCCTCTTCTTAACTTTTCCAAAGTCTTTGTATCCTTAAGTGTAGTGCTCAAAATTGGATACCACTGGTCTAGTTGGATTTAAATTAGGTTTTCATGTCTGTTTAACACAGCTATTTTGCTTTTGCCTCTTGATATAACTCAGAATTCTGTGTTTTATTATTTTGTTAATCTCTCCTGCCACCTTCAAAGATTTGTGCCAAATGCCCTCTGGTCTCCATGTTTTTCTTTCTACTTTTTAATATTTTACCATTTTAACATGTGTTGTTGCTACTTTCCTCCCCCCAACGTATCGTATCGCTTCTAATTGAATTCTAATTGCCACTTTCACTCATTTCATCAGCTTGTCTGGACTACTTTGAAATATTAAGCCTTTCTTACTGTTTACTATGCAATTTCCATGTCCTCTACCACCAATTCCAAATAATTATATTTCATTGCAGTGATACTGGTGGAGAACAATGCAGCTTTCCACACATCCCTTTCCCACAGTCAAAACATAAATGAAATTTACCATCTCTCTGCTAACCCTTGGCCAGTGTTGTGCCCAATAAGATTCAGTTTTACAATAGTGTTTTGCAAATACTTAACATGTTCTTTTAAAGAACATTGTATGTTATCAGCTACATAGCCTTTGTTACCTCACCATAAGAACTCTGGTTAATCGAACATAATTTACTCTTCAATCTATACTGTGCTTGTCTAACTGGCAGTTAATTTTCTTTCAAAGTTTTAAATGTATTCGAATGTTTGGAGTGAGCATGGAATCGACAAACTTCTGAAACCTGATGAGAGCACCACCACCAAGCTTGATTTGTTGCAGACCACCATTCACCATCAGGGAATTTTTTTTTTTTTAAAATTCACCTGTGGGATCTGGGCATTGCTGGCTGGCCAACGTTTATTGCCTGTCCCTAAATGCCCATGAAAAGGTGGTGAGCTGCACTGATGGAGGGTAGGACAGTGGCTCGGTGTTTAACACTGCTGTCTTTATAGCGCCAGGGACCCAAGTTTGATTCCACCCTTGGACAACTGTCTGTCTGTGTGGAGCTTGCCATTCTCCCCATGTCTGTGGGTTTCTTCTGGATGCTCTGGTTTTCTCCCACAGTCCAAAGATATGCAGGTTAGGTGGATTGGCCAAGCCTACTTGCCCATAGGGTCCAGGAATGTGCAGGCTAGGTGGATTAACCATGGAAATGCAGTGGTGTGGGTGGGTGGGGTGGGGGCTGGGTCAGGGTGGAATGCTCTGCAGAGGGTTGATGTGGACTTAATGGGCTGAATGGCCTGCTTCCACTTAGGGATTTGGTGCTGCAGTCCACATGCTGTAGGTTGACCCAGAATGCCATTTGGGAGAGAATTCCAGGACTTTGATCCAGCAACAATGAAGGAACAGTGATACATTCCCAAGTCATATTGGTGAGTGGCTTTGAGGGGAACTTCCAGGTGGTGGTATTCTTATGTATCTGCTATACATGCCCCCAAGTTGGAGGCAGTTGTGGATTTGGAAGATGCTGTTTAAGAATCTTTGAATTTTTACAGTGCATCTTGTAGGTAGTAGCGTTAGTGTTGGAGGGAGTGGATGCTTGTGGACATGGGGGCAAACAACTGGGCTGCTTTGTCCTGGATGGTGTCAAGCTTCTTGAGTGTTGCTGGAACTGCATCCATGCAGGCAAGTGGGGAGAATTCCATCACAATCCTGATTTTATGCCTTTTTAAGTGGTTGGCAGGCTTTCAGGAGTCAGAAAGTGAGTTGCTCACCACTGTATTCCTAGCCTGTGACCTGCTTTTGTAGCCACTGTTTATGTGGTGAGGCCAATTGAGTTTTTGGTCAGTGGTGATCCCCCAGGATGTTGATTGTCAGGGATTTAGTGATGATAACACCAATGAATATTAGGGGGTCGTGATTGTCTGTCATTGTCTTTGGATTTGGACAGGTTAGGAGAGTGGTCAAAGAAGTGGTAGATGGAGTACAACATGGGAAATTGAGGTCATACACTTAGGTAAGAAGAATAGAAATATTGGCTATTTTCTAAATGGGGAGAAAATTCAGAAGTTCTGAAGTGCAAAAAAAAAGAGATTTGGGAGTTCTAGTCCAGGATTCTCTCAAGGTAAACTTGCAGGTTGAGTCAGTAGTCAGGAAGGCATTTATTTTGAGAGGACTTGAATATAAAAGCAGGGATGTACTTCTGAGGCTTTATAAGGCTCTGGTCAGGCCACATTTGGAGTATTGTGTGCAGATTTGGGCCCCAAATCTCAGGAAGGATGTACTGGCCCTGGAGCGGTTTCAGAGGAGGTTCATGAGAATGGTCCCAGGAATGAAAAGCTTAACATATAGGAACATTTGAGGACTATGGGACTATACTCGATGGATGTTTGCATTCCTAGGAGAGACTAGGACCCGAGGGCACAGCCTTCGAGTAAAGGGAAGACCAATTAGAACGGAGATAAGGAGAAACTTCTTCAGCCAGAGAGTGGTGAATCTATGGGATTCACTGCCACAGGAGGCTGTGGAGGCCAGGTCATTGAATATATTTAAGACTGAGATAGATAGGCTCTTGATTACCAAGAGGATCAAGGGTTACGGGGAGAAAGTGGGAGAATGGGGTTGAGGAACTTATGATTGAATGGCGGAGCAGATTCATTGGGCCAAATGGCCTAATTTCTGCTCCTATGTCTTATGACCTGAATGTTACTTGCCAGCCCAAGCCTGGATATTATCCAAATCTTGTTGCATTTGACCATGAACTGCTTCAGTATTTTGAGGAGTCGCAAATGGTGCTGAACAGTGCACAATCATCGGATTTCATTTCATAGGATCCCTACACTGTGGAAGCAGACTGTTTGGCCATCAAGTCCACCCAGATGCCTACCCTATCCCTGTAACCCTACATCTTTCCCATGGCTAATCCACCTAGCCTATGCATCCCTGGACACTATGGGCAATTTAGAATGGCCAATTCACCTACCCTGCACACCTTTGGACTGCGGGAGGAAACTGGAAACCCATGCAGAAATGGGGAGAATGCAAACTCTGCACAGACACAGTTCCTCAAGGCTGGAATCGAACCTGGGTCCCTGGTACTGTGAGGCAGCAGTGCTGACCACTGAGCCACCACGTTGCCCCAAATCATCAGCGAGTATCCCCACTTCTGACCTAATGATGGAGGGGATGTCATTGAAGCAGCTGAAGATGTTTGGATCTGGGACACTACCCTAAGGAAATCTTGCAGGGATGTCTGGGAGCTGAGATGACTGACCTCCAACAACCGCAACCATCTTCATGCCATGTGGAGAGGTCGTCCCCTGATATACAACGATGCCAGTTTTTCTCTAGGGCTCCTTCGTGTAGCTTCGACATCAAGGGCTGTCATTGTCACTTCACCTCTGCAATTCAGCTCGTTTTGTCCATGTTCAAACCAAGGCTGTATTGAGGTCAGGACCTGAGTGGCCTTGGCAGAACTCAAACTGTGTCACTGAGCGAATGCTGCTTGAAAGCACTCTTGATGACACCTTCCATCACTTTACTGATTATTGAAAGTAGATTAATGGGACAGTAATTGGCTGAGTTGGATTTGTCCTGCTTTTTGTGTACAGGATGTACCTGGGCAACTTCCACATTGACAACATGGCATTTACCCGACAATGTGCTGGAACAGCTTGGCTAGGGAGTGGTAAATTCACAAATCTTCAGTCCTGTTGCTGGAATGTTGTCAGGGCCCATAGCCTCCACTGCCTCGCACCATTTCTTGATATCTCTTGGGAATAATCGCATTGGTTGAAAACTGATATCTGTGATGTTGGGTACCACCTGGAAAAGACTGAGGTGGATCGTCTACTTGGCACTTCTGGCTGAAGATTGCTGCTCATGCTGCAGCCTTATCTTTTGCACTGTGTAGTGCTCTTCCATCATTAGGATAGGCGTATCTGGACCTTCCTCCAGTGAGTTGTTTAATTGTCCAGCACCATTCATAACCTTGATGTGGCAGGACTGCAGTGCTTAATTTGATCTGTTAGTTGTGGGATCACTTAGCTCAGTGTATCACTTGCTGCTTATGCTGTTTGGGATGCAAGTAATCCTATTACGTAGCTTCACCAGATCGACACCTCATTCTCAGGTATGCCTAAAGGTGCTTCTGGAATGCCCTCCTGCACCGTACATGACCCAGGGTTGATTCCCTGGCTTGACAGTAAAAGTTGAGCTGGGGATATACCGGGCCTTGAGTTTACAGATTTGTGCTGGAGTACAATTTTGTTGCTGGTCCATAGCACCTTGTGAATGTCCAATCTTAAATTACTACATCTGTTTGAAGTCTCCCATTTAGCGTGGTGATAGTGCCACACAGGACAGTGGACCACGTTCTCCATATAAAAGCAAGACTTGATCTCCATGAGGCCTGTGTAGTGGTCACTCTTAACGATACAGGTGCATCTGCAGCTGGTAGACTGGTAAGAACGAGGTCAAGTATGTTGTTTATCTTGGTTCCCTCACGACCTGCTGCATACCCTGTCTAGCAGCTATTTCTTTTAGGACCCAACCAACTCGATCAGTAGTGTTGCTGCTGAACCATTTTTGCCGGTGAACATTGAAATGCCCACCCATCCAGAGTATATTTTGCACTCTTGGTGCACTTGTTGCTTCCTCCAACTGATTCATCAGCGAAGGAAGGACAGTACATGGTAATTAGCAGCAGGTTTCCTTGCCTGTGTTTAACCTGATGCCGTGAGACTTCAAGGGTTCCAGAGTTAATGTTGAGGACTCCAAGGTCCCTCCTGACTGTATAGCACTCTGCTCCCACCACTGGGTCGGTCCTAAGGCAAGTATAATCCTCTGGGTAAAGAAGACCAAAACTCTGGATATGTTGTTATCAATTGCAAAACTTCCTTAATCTTGTACCCAATCACCTTGTATACAATTTGCCTTCCTAATTGCTTGCTGTATTGTGTTTTTGACTTCTTTGAAAATCAATCACCATGACATCCCAACTTTTCTGAATTTCAAAATTTTATTGTTTTGTTTCTGTGGTGATATTTTATCATCTTTTGAAGAATGAATTCGTATTTCTCCACTACTTCTATGTCTAACAACGTCCTAACCACAACTTCCTCTGTTTGTATCCCTCTGCAGACTGCTATCCTCTCAGCTTACTTTCCAATCTAGTTTTGTTATTGACAAACTTGGTTATGTTGTGGTCGATGCCTTTTGACCTCCATAATTAAAATAGATTTCAATTGATGCTCACACTGATTTTTGCAGCACCCCAAAGGAAGTTTGTTTGACAGGCTACAATTGTTTTCTGTTAAATCAATCCTCTGACCATGTGAATGTTTTCCCCCAAACCCATGAGTCCTTATCTTGCACAGCAATCTTTGACTTTTTAATCAGAATTCATCTTAAATTCCAAAAATAAAGCACCCACTGACTTCAGTCACCTACAGTATTATTATCTTGCAATTGTTAGTTAAAATTAGTTTAAATCTGTGTTGACTGTCTATTTAAACTGACGTTCTTAGTACTCTGTTCATGCTTTACTGGATTGTTTCCCAAGGCACACGCTAGCTGACCTAGAAGAAAGGTGTTGATTATAAGCTGTAAATTGTGTAGCAATCCATAACACACCACGCAAGGAATAAACAGCTGCAGGAGACCTATTTTAAAATGGTTGCACAACACAAATTTAAAAAGTTGTGTATAGTTGTTGTACCTCCCTCCTTTGTTATTTTTGACCACTCCAGAATCTGAGGCAGAGCTGGATTGAGCTAAAATTAAACTTGAAATGGACAATTGGATCACCCTTCTGGTAGATAATTGTCATGTTAAAAGATTTGATTGCCGAATCATTTCTCAGGTATTGTAATTCATTCTATCTCAGAACTATTTCACTTGAAGTGATACGGTTGTAATTAGCAATATTATTTAATGGAGGGGGAGAGACCGAGAAACCCTTGTTTATAAATGTTATAAGTGTTATAAATGTAATAAATTACTCTAAAGCTCTCATGGTATTGTCCATCTTCTCATTTAGCTTATTCAGGCTTTCACACATGCACCAGCAGTTGTTGAGGCTACTAAAGGAGGGAAGTTTCGACTTCTAGAGGGGAATGTCAGTGGGGAATTCTTGGAACTGGTGAGTATCTTTGGTTTAAAAAATCTTGCATTACAAGTTTGGGACTTTAAAAATCTTTGAGGCCTAGAATAGAAGTAAAGTTTCAATGCCTCTTGATGTTTAAATCTAAACTATATTTGTGCATGTGGTAGCAAACGCTTGATGTGATTTTAAAAAAATTTGTTCAATTTTTGTGTTAATGAACTGATGAGAACCCATATGGTAATGTTGAATGGATATGCTTACAAAGGCAGTTTAATTTCTACAATCGTGCTCCATAAATTAATGGGTGGAGTGATGGGGGAAGAATTCTCTTGAATAAAAATTTTAATTGATTTGCTTTTCCCCACATTTATCCAAAAACCTTGCTTCCTGGTGTTTACAAGGGAAAAGATCAGCAGTTGCTCTTCAGAGTTTAAGATATATGCAATAGTTTTTGTTTGTTGGCTCTAATAGTGTGAAAATGTAAGTGTTTACTACACCTTCTGCAAATCAACCCTTTGCATCATGTCAACACAATTTTCAACAAATTTCTTCTCATTGCTTATGAAAGCAATAGCAAACTACATTGAACAACAAAATCATTTTTTTGCTTGAATGACCTTTAGGACTTTATGTACATTTTTTATTGTAAAATTCTTAAACTGCAGACAGTTTGACTTGTTCTCTGTTCATATCTGTTGGAATTTGTGCATATAAACGAAGTTCAATTTCTGGAGAGAGAAATTTAAAAATCTAGGCGATGTGAATCTGTAGTAAAATTGTCAATGCTGAAATCCCCTAACCAAAACTAATTTTAGTTTAGTGACTTCATAGTTTTTGTTTTTCTATTCAACATAAGTACTTGCTGTTACTAGTAGTGTTTTCACGTAACACTTTTATCAATGTACTGATGACCTAATTTTATTCACCAGGTTTCTGAGCAACGGATTGTTATGAAATGGAGGTACAAGTCATGGCCAACTGGTATGTTTCTCTCTGTGGAGTTAATTGTTAAGTGTAGCTGCATCCTACAGTGCAAGGGTTTGACTAAACTTTGTATTGGCTCAAGTCTTGAATGCATTAATGAATAGTCCTGTACAACTTTATACGCTTGATTCTAGCCCAGCCAAGCTGTTTCAGTACAGCTACAGCACTTGACATCTACCTAACTATAGGGAAAATTACTCTGGTACGTCCCATACACAAACGGCAGGACAAATTAAACCTGGCCAATTACCACCCTGTTAGTTTACTCTATGGTCAGTGATGGAAGGGTGTCTTTGATAGTGCCACTTGATAACATTTGGAAAAGAATTACCTGATTGTTGATGATCAAGTTGGAATGAGACAGCCATTCAGCTCCTGTCCTCCCTACACACTTGATCTAAACATGGACAAAGAGTTGAAAGTGAAGTGAGGTTAGCTGCCATAATGTAGCATTTTGACAGTATGGCATCAAAAGTTTTAGGAATACTGAGTCATTGAGAATCATTGCGGGGACAGAGGGTCTCTGCTGGTTGGAGTCATGCCCTACAAATAAGATGAAACAAAAAAAAACTGCTGGAGAAATTCGGCAGTGTCTGTGGAGGGAAAGCGGAGTTAACATTTTGGAGCCGGTGACCACCTTCCAGAACTACTAGTAGCTAGGAAAAAGTGGTGTGTATATATAGCTGAGGATGGGAAGGAGTTAAGCTCAAGAGAAAGAAAAGCTGATAATGGGGACCATAAATTGGTGAGAAACAGTTGGCTGTGCTGAACGTGGCCCATATTGTGATGTGTGTGAGGTGGGTAAGGGACATTAGAGGAAGGTATTCAGGTTCTAAAATTATTGAACTTGATGTTGAGTCCTCGAGTGGATAATGAGATGCTGTTTCTCCAGTTTGCTCTGACCCTTGCTCAAGCACTGCAGCAGCCCTGAAATCGAAAACTTTGCCACAAAACTGTTTTGAAGTATCATAAGTTAAATTATTGTAGATTTATTTGAAATGCATTATGTAATTGTGGTTTCCTTCATTTCATTTGATTTTGACTTGGAAATCTGAAGTTTTGTTTTGCCTGGATGTTGAAAAACTTGCTCATTGTGACTGCCTTATTTTCAGAACATTATGCAACTATAAAACTAAGCTTCTGCAGCAAGGATGATGGAACAGAACTTCAAGTGGAGTGCAAAGGTGTCCCAGTGGGAGAGGAAGAACAGACAAAATCAGGGTGGCAGCGTTACTATTTTGAAGGCATTAAGCAGACTTTTGGATACAATGTACGACTGTTTTAAAAGGATGATCTATCTGGAAACTCCTAGCTAACTTATGAAAACCGAAAAGCTTTAGACCTTTGTTCATTTCACTGTTCTGTTCATTCTGTTAGTTCAGCTAACCTGCAGCTATGACAGTGGATACTTTCAAAAGAATTGTCTTTTTTTTTAATTCCAGCAGCCAAAAATCTCCATTAAGTTAAGTACAGCCTTACAGTGGGAAACAATGAGAACATTGACTGTGTCAATTGCAAAATTAAGACCTATGAGAATTTTCCACTATATTGTGGAGGTGTATAAAAGTCTAGTTCTCATCACCAGTATGACTTTCAATAGCAACTGCAATATACTTACAATTTTTGGGTCTTTGTGGATTGAGCATATGAAGAGCAAATGAAAGAAGATTGGAGAAATTTCTTGCCTTCCCTTAAGTTTACTTCTTCTTTCTCTTCTTCCCCCACCTCCCCCAACTACCACTGACTCACCTAGAAACCCATAAATCTCTCATTTCCTTTTACTCCATGTGCAGTATTTGTGAACATCTGCGGTATTTGCCTACTCCCAAAATCTGAAAAGGACACCTTAACTTTTTGCAGCTGTTCTGGAAAAGTAAATTTCAGACCAACCATCTGTTTGCATCTGATGCTTATTCACTGATTATAAACTCAGTGTAGCAATGTGACAGTGATGGGATCAAATAAAAGCTAGGAGTGGAAGAAAAACTTTACTGATGGTTTGTTTTTTTCAAATGTAATTATTATGAGGATGTGGGTTAGGTGCAGTATAGTATGTTGTAATGTAACTGCTGTCACACTGGCTAACTGGTTTTCTGTTTGGTTTCAGTTATGAATTCATTGTAGTGGACCACTCTCAAACCAAATCATATGAAAGTCAGTCAAAGCTACTACTTGCAAAACTGCAAATCTTTTGTTATATTATCCCATAATAGGCAATACTGCATCTTTCAAAGGAGCTGCAAGGGAGTAAATGTTTTCCAATTTCCTAATGTAGCACTTTTTTCCCTCAAAAATCAGTTGGAATGAGATTTTTATAATGACAGCACATACAATAAGTAGCCTTGATATTGGCACTGGAAATTTCTAGAGCAGAGCATTGTGCATGATTAATTTTTTAAACTTTGCCTTTCAAGTTCATTTTCAATGCTGTTTTCTGGAAGTGTGAGCTAATAATGATAGGCTGAAGAAAATGCAGCACTTGAAAACCAGTATCTCCAAACTGGTGCGGTTCAAGGTTCTGAGAAAGAAATAGAAACCACTTTATTCTGAAAAAGGAAATTAGTGAAAGGTGAGTTTGAATTGAATCAAAAGCAGGTAAGAAGATTTGGGTTAGTGGGTGGGGCATGTGAGTGGCTAAATAAAAATAGACGAGGGAAATCTAGGGGAAAGAATTTGTATTTTAAAATCAACTAGTAATATCCTGATGGAGTTTGATTTCACTGTTAAATTGTCCCCTATCTGTACTGGATGGAGTAGTTGATTGTTGAAATTGAAGGAACATAACCTTGCTGACATTTACTGATGCTGTTAAGTGCTAGCCCACACTTCCTGTGAAAAGTTTATTTGGCAGTGATTGCACAAATTTGGATCTGTGTTGAGACAAGAACTAGGTGCCATAAATAAGGTGGCTAACATTAAATTCAGTAGGAAATTGGAAATAGGAAATAAACCTGTGGAATTTGAGACGTGTGGCATCAATTCATTTTAGGGAAATCTAGGTAAATGTTAGAAAGGAATAGAAAATCTGGCAATACTCAGCAGGTCTGACAGCACATGTGGAAAGAAAACAAAGTTTAAAAATCAACTGGGGGAAGAAAAGTTGGACATGTAGTAGTTTCAATCAAGTAGAGGACGAAGTGGTGGTGGTGAGCTAGAGGAACAAAATGCCTGTGATAAGGTTGCGGGGGGGTGGGGTGGTGGGGGATGGTGTTTGGGAGAGATTAAGTGGCAGCAGGGATGATGGTGCAAAGTGATTGAACACTTGCCAGTTTTCTGGACTCGACATTTGAGTTCAGCAATTTTAGATGATCATCTGCATGTTTTATTTTTGACAGCAACTCTTGGTAATAATACTACCTGTTCCCATTTACACTTACCTTTTGAATCAGATTTCTACGGGCAGGGTGGGGGGGGGAGTAATTCCCCTCCTTTTTTTATTTTGTCTTGCCAAAATTATTCTTTTTGTCATTTCATCTTGCCTGTCCTCCACTTGATTTCCCCACCCTGGCTGAGTTCAGCAACTATTTCAAAAAGAGGTTGCAGGTGAGCTGCCATTTTATTCCAGCTGACAGCAGACAGGTACAAATTGTCCAGGAGTTGGTGGCAACTCGTGACAAACAGGGTATTTCCTGCTGAGTTGTTGACTACATTGTGTGCCTTTCAACTCTCTCTATTGTCAGTGAAAAAGGTTAAATTCATTGCAAATGATTAGATTGGATCAGACTAAAAGATTTAATTTGGGTGACATGTGAATTGTGCTTTTTGTGGAACTAAAGTTCTAAGCCTGATCTCTTGCAGTTGGCAGATATTTGGTTAACATGCTGAATTGTATGAACAATAGGTGTAGGTTGGTTGTCCATTCCCCATGTACATATGACACTGTCACAAGTTACTTTATTAAATACAATTTCTACTTAAACATTTGTGTGCTTTAGATTTCCACTGTCTTGAATGTGCCAATTAATTATGTCTTAGGCTACAAATTAGTGTTTAAAGGAGGGGGATTCTGATAAAGGAGGCCATGAGAACAATCATGAGTCTTGGCTCAAAAGAACAGATTCAACAACCTGCTGAGAATTTTTTTCCTCACTTTACCCGTATTACTTTTGCACATCACTTTACACCTATGCCCTCTTGATCATCTTAAAAGTAAGAGAATCTTCTTCCTATCTACTCTGTCCAGCCTGCTTGTAAGTTTGTTTTTTTTAAACTTCTATCAAATCTCCTCTCGGCCATTTTCTCTGAGAATTATCCCCCTGCCTTTGGCCTATCCTCATCACTGAAGTTTCTCCTACTTGGAATCATTCTAGTAAATTGTTTCTGTGCTCTGTAATTCTTTCACATTGTGTTCCTATAATGTGTCACCCACAACTGTACACATGACTTCAATTGAAGCCTAACAATTGTCTTTTATAAGATTAACATCACCATCTTGATCTGTCTCTAATAAAGCCGAAGATGCTTGAATTGCACTCACGACCTGTGTACGTATACATTGAGGTCCCTCTGCTTCTGTATCTCCCTATAAAATGCAGGGTCCAATTGTATTGTCCTTCAATATTCTTCCTACTAAAGTGCATTATCTCACTCATTCCTGTATTGAAATGTCACCTGCCCACTCCACCAAGTTGTCAATGTCCCTTTGGAATTCTACACTGTCCTCTGTTTGTAATTCTAAGTTTCATTTCATAGCTGCAAGTGTTTCAATTCTCCCTGTTCACCAAGATCCACCTCACTCTTATATATCAGAAATCAGGTCCCAGTACAGACTGTTGGGAGCTCCACAAAAGCTTGCCTCCAGGTTGGAAAAATATCCATTAATCCTTACTGTTTCTTATCATTCAGCCAATTTTGTCTCCATGTTGCCACCATTACTTTTAGATTGTTTTTGTGTAATATTATCAACTCTTCTGGAAATCCACATACCACATTTTTATTAACTTAATGAAGAGAGAGGGGTGGTGACTCTGGGCAAGCACTTAATACCCCTCCTTAGTTGCCTGTTGAAGGTGGTGGTGAGTTACCTCCTTGAACCACTGTAACTCGTGCTGCAAGTAGATCCACAATGCTGTAAGGGAGGGAGTTCCAGGATTTTGGCCCAGCAACACTGAAGGAACAGTGATCAATTTCCAAGTCAAAGCACTCCCCATCCTGAGGTTGTAAGGTGCTGTTAAAGGATCACTGGTGAATTTCTACAGGGCATCTGTAGATAGTACTGCTGCTATTGAGTGCCAGTGGTGAAGGAACAGCTGTTTTTAAGGTCACACTAATGATGCAAGCTGCTTTGTCCTGGATTATGTCAAGCTTCTTGAGTGTTGAAGCTACACCCATCCAGACAAGTGGGGAGTGTTCCTTCACCATCCTGACTTGTCTTGTAGCTAAATGCACAAACTTCGAGTAACTCACCTAACTTCCCAATGGGGTATTCCAGCTTCTAACCTGCTCTGCTAACCACTACTTACAACTGATCTGAAATCAGAATATAACGTCTGGGATATTTTATAGTGGGGAATTCAGTGATGATAACATCATTGAAAAAGATAATCAAATAACCACTAAGTGATATTGCCTAGCTTTTGCGTGGCATGAATTTTACTTACCACTTGTGAGCCCAAACCTGGATATTGACCAGATCTTGTTGCACTTGAACACACTGCTTCAGTGTTTGAGGAGTCGTGAATGGTGCTGAACATTGTTGGCTGATAATTCCACATGCTTACTTCTGACCTCCTAAAGGTCATTGAAGCAGCTGAAAACGGTTGGGCCAAGAACACAACACTGAGGAACTCCTGTTGAGATGTCCTGAAGCTGAGATGACTGACCTCCAACAACCACACCCTATGTGCCAGGTATGATTCTAATTGATTCCAGTTTTACCAGGACTCCTGATGCGACATTCAGTCATGGCCCTTGATATCAAGGCCAAATTTCACCATGTTCTTTTGGAATTCAGCTGCTTTTTTTGTCCATACTCCCCTTGGAGCGTTTCTAATATCTCTTCCAAAAACTCTAGCAAGTTAGTTGAACTTTACTTCCCCTTTTGGGAAGAGTCAGAATGGATTTCTAAACAGCCCATCCTATGTTATCCTAAATAATTGTTTCTACTGGTTTCCCAACCACTAGTGTTAAACCAACTGATCGGTTAGTGCTGAGAATATCCTTGCAACCTTTCGTAAATAAGGCTATAATGATTTGAAATTCTCCATTCTCCATTCCTTTGGTAGCTCCCCCAAGTTCAAGACAGATTAGGGCCAGTGCCCCTGCTGTTTCTACTTGTTCATACTTCAGAATCTTTGGATGCATCTCATGTAGTGCTGAAGCCTCATCAACTAAGTAACAGCAGTCTGGCATGGACTTCTTTCGCTAGTTTTGAACCCTTCCAGTAACAGTTTCCTGTTCAGTCATCACTGGGCAGTTTTTCCTTTTTTCTTGGGAAAGATAGGTGAATACTCGTGCATTTTCTTTCTATTCGTTTGTAGGATGTGGGCGTTGCTGGCTGGCCAGCATTTCTTGCCCCTCCCTAGTTGCCCTTAGGAAGGTGATGGTGAGCTGTCCTTTTGAACCGCTTCAGTCTTCCTGCTGTGAGTTGACCCACAATGCTATTAAAGGAGGGAATTCCAGGATTTTGACCCAGCAACAGTGAAGGAACAAATATTTCCAAGTTGGGACAGTGAGTGGCTTGGAGGGGAATTTGGAGGTGGTGGTGTTCCCATATAACTGCTGCCTTTGTCCTTCTAGATGGAAGTGGTTGTAGGTTTGGAAGGTGCTGTCTGAGGATCTTTGGTGAATTTCTGTAGTGCATCTTAACACCTCCGCTATAGCTCAGCCTTCACGTGCCAGTCCCTTTTTTGATCTCTAGTCAGTCTTACTCCTTTTTTACCACTCCTATATATAATATTCTAGGAAAACTGTAATCAATGGGTATTAGGGCCAGACTCTCCAGTAGTTAGTCATACCTGACAAGATGGTTGTGGTGCTAGAAGTCAGTCATCTCAGCTCCAAGACATGGCTGCAGGAGTTTCTCAGGATAGGGTCCTAGGCCCAACCATCTTCAGCTTCATCACTGACTTTCTGCCTCCTCCTTCCCACCCACCCCTCCAAGGGCAGCAGTGAGGATGTTTACCAACATTCACCATTTGTGACTAGTTGGAGACTGAAGCAGTCCATGTTCAAATGCAACAAGATCTGGACAACATCCAGGCCTGGGCTGACAAAAGACAACTAACATGTAAGCCACATAAATGCCAGGCTATGAATATCAAGGGGCAGGGGTTCGATCATCTCTTAATAGAGACAGTCAATGGTGTTACCATCACTGAATTCTCCCGTTAACCTCCAGCACATCGATATCATTCACCAGAAACTGAACTGTACTCAGTACATAAACAGACTACAAGAGCTGGTCAGAGGTTATGAAAAAAAAATGGTGAGTAACTCCCCTGTCTAAAAGGCACAAATCAGGAATCTGATGGAATATTCACCACTTGACACCATCCAAGAGAAAGCAGCCGACTTGATTGGCACTGCATCCACTCCCTCTTAGTAGCAGTGTGCACAACTATCTGCAAGATGCACAGTAGAAACTCAGACAGCACCTTCCAAACCCTGACCACTTCCATCTAGAAAGACAAGGGCAGTAGATACATGGGAACACCACCTCCCTTCAAGTTCCACTCCAAGCCTCTCACCATGCTGGTGTGGGAACATAATCACCAGTCTTTCAGTGTTGCTGGGTCAAAATCCTGAAATTCCCTCTCTAATGGCATTGTAGGTCAACCTGCAGCAGGTGGGTTGTAGCATTTCAAGAAGGCAGCTCACCACCACTTTACCTGTTCCCTAGTTATCCTTAAGTGCTGGCTGGCTGGCTGGCCAGAAATGTCCAATCCCACAAATGAATTAATATATACTTAACCTTCAATTTTGGACTAATTCCTTGGTAGGGAAAGTGCAGCCCTCTTAGTGAGAACAATGATTTCCAACCTTTCCCAGTATCAAGGCATAATTCAATGAGACAAACAATTCTACGGTACTTAACCGACCTTTTTCTAGATGCATTCATTGCTCAAAGGACTCGTACTTCTTTGCCATAGTAAGAATGGAGATATTATATCTGATCATTGAAGCCCCCTCACCACCTCTCTTCCCTCCCCATTCAGCTGCTTCTCACAACACACCCATCTCTCAGAAGTCAATTTGTGGTCATAGAGAGCTACTCTTCACTGTGTGGGGCTCAGGTGAGGCAGAGAGTAGATCTCTTTCCCCAGACTCTGCTTCAACAAAGGGTTAGTTCAGTATGTGCTAGCTCCTCCACTTGCCCTGTTCTTGGCTCTGCTGCATACTGACACAGGCAACCTGCAGTAGAAGCAGTGCACAATTTGACAAGCTCAACCTGGCAAAGATCCAAGGTGACAGATTTCTGGTTCCATGCACTGAGTGGTGCATGGTGTTATTAATCGGATGCTGGGAATTGTTTCTACTCTTACCCTTGCCCCTCACAATTTCCCAGCCTTGCAATAGGGGTGCCTGATGTTAGTAGAAAAAGCAACACTGTTTCCCAGTAATTTCACAGCACACCTTTTGTCACTGTAGTCTGCTTAGAAACCACTCATCTGGGAGTTAAGAAAAAACAAGACATACTCTCAGTGAAACAGTTGTCCAGAAGCACCATCAACTAGGGTCATAAGTCAAATCTCAGACGAAACCATGTCTTGATGGATCACAGTTTTATTTTTAGTTGTGATGTTTTTAATGACAGAGCACAAGTTTATTACATAACACAGAAAGCAAAGCTACTAGAGTCAGAGTAACACAGCATGAAAACAGACCATTTGGTCCAAATTGGCTAAGGTGATTAGGTATCCTAAACTGAATTAGTCCCATGGGCCTGCATTTCATCCTTATCCCTCTAAACCTTTCCTC